CACACTAATGTGGATCTCATAAATTGTTGTCCGACTGTACCAGACCAAAAAGAAAAAGAGAAAAACAGCCTGACAAAACGCTAAACCACTGCATAATGTGATGCTTTTTGGGTCAGGACTGGAGTGCATGTCCCTCCAGGCCCCTTTGTACTGTGATCCGTCTGACTTTAATCCTCTCAGTTTTAAGCACAAGCAGACTTGGATTTTGGAGGGGGGGGGGGGGATAATACTACTTTACATCCAAAGTTGAAAAACAGACATTTTACTCTGACTTTTGTAGGTCTGCAGACTCCACCGCTGTGTGAGCTGGTGGTGGGAGGAGAGCCTCAGTGCTGGTCAGAGGGACACTGTCTCCTGGTCGATGACTCCTTCCTCCATACCGTCTCTCACAAGGGTCAGTGAACCACACGCAATATGGAACCTTGTATTGTAATGTGTGATTGTAAGTTATATTTCTGGACTATTGGTGGTCTATAGCATTTATTCATTGAAAAACATGCAACTAGAGTGAAGAAAAATTGGTGGTTGCAAACAAATCCCAACATTTAACCCTTTTTTGCTCTTATTAGCATTCTTATGATTAAAAATGAAATTCAGTGGATATTTTTGGGGCCCAAAATGACATTTTTGAGGTCTTTGCACCATTTCAAGACCTTTTTCCGACAGATGAGTAAAAAAGTGTACCTGTGTCCGTTTTAAAGGCCCTCCAGATTCTGGTCCCAGAGTCATTCTGAGCGTCGACCTCTGGCATCCAAATGTGGCTGCAGCTGAGAGACAAGCGCTGGACTTCATGTTCAGCCCCGACCTGTGAATTTGCTCCTGCACTTCTACATGCAAAGGATGCCTTACCTTAACCCTGCTCGTCCTGGGTCCTGCATCTCATTCCAGTCAGTGAATCACTGTGTGAATCTGCCCTAAGAATTACACAAGCCATCAGCAATGCTTTCAAGTGCTGTTGAATTTGCTGCCTGCGCCCGGGATTGCACCGTGAGGGACCTATGCTGTAATTAGACAATGCTACATGCTCGACAATTTGGCTGCAAACTGCAAACTGGCATGGCCTGAAAGCACAAAGAGCAGACCTGGTGTTAACTCTTGTAAATATTTGCATCTTGACGTCTTATCCTATGCCTGTGAATGCATGTGCAACCTGCCTGTCGTGATCACCGGACTGTCGATGCATGTGCTCATATGGCTTCAGGTGAAGGTGCTCAGGCAGCTTTGTTTTGAAATGTAGGCAGATTACCTACAGCTAAACCAAAAAAACTGTGAGAACATGAAAATCCTATAAATGCAAATTTCAATTTATTTTTGTTTTCCACACTTATACTAACGTACTGTGGTGCTTTGTTCTCTTAGTTCTGTCCTCTGTCTTGCTCGTATGTTTCTATTTTGAATCAATTAGATTTTTCTTCGTTCAGAATTTGTTTGTCATTGATGGATCAGTTCTGGTTTACATATGTACAGTTTTCGCCACGTCTGTATTTTTTTGGGAATCAAAATACCAAATAAATGATTGAACCAATTTTGACTTTGTAATTCGATTTTTATTATCAATATTATTTTTTAAATATACAGCCTAAAAAGAATTGAAAGAGGAAGAAAAAGAAGAGAAAAATTAGAATCAAGTGCGAGTAAATCGAAGAATCGTCAATTAACTTTGGTAAAGGAGTAAAACACTTGTTGATATGTTATCAAATACAACTAATTCTGTTGTGGAGCTCTTGACATATACAGTTGTCCTCAAATTTATTCATACCCTCCAATTAAAGAAGGAAAAATCAGCTGTCACTGAAATAAGTTGAAATTGACAAAAGTAACGACAAATAAAAAATTAATGAAAATCATGACATTGCTTTTGAATTGTGGTTCAACAGAAATATTTGAAAAAAGCAACAACAACAAAAAAACTCAAACAAGCATGGTGGGATCCGTAAACTAATATTTTGTTGAACAACCTAATTTGTCCAGGACCGTTTTTTCTTTCTTTCTTTATTTTTATTATTCTTTTCAACCACAATTCAAAAGCAATGTCTTATTTCACTAAATTATAATTTAGTAAATGTTTATTTATTATTACTTTTTTCAGTTTCTAGTTATTTGAGTGACTATTGTGAATTTTGCCTTTTCTTTAATGGAACGGTCTGAATACATTTGAGGATGACTGTAAACTAGCATGATGAAGCATTATCTGACAGCATTCATGCATTTAAATAATAATAAACTGCAAAAATGTTTATTTTTATGTGAGTTCTAAATGGCCAAAGTCATTATTTGGGGGTGGGGGGACCATTAATTGGTAGCCAATTTATTTCTCTTTAAAAGATTGTGCTTAAAACTCTCGTTAAGGTCCTACTATTTATTTTATTTATCTTTTTGGTTACTTTTTTTTTTTATTCAGTAGATGAGAATTAGTGATTCTGTCTTATCTGCCATCTGTTCTTCGGAGGGTCCCATGATGAGGATTACAAAGCCTGAACTAATCCACCCTAGAGAGGCAGATTATTCCTGAGATTGTTTAAATGTAGTTGTATGTATGTTGTCTCATGATGTATGATTCATCCATCGCTGGACATCTACTCCGTGAGATGTAAGAGGAAGCAAAACATGCAGTTGTCGCATAATATAACAACTGAGCATTAACGTCAGATGTCAGCATTAAGAAAAGGCAAGAAAAAAAAACCTGTTGTCTTAAATTTGCTGTCCAGCAGGTAATCATAATGATGGAGGTGCTGCAGACACGTTTTCAAGCATCAATATTCATTTAAATTTTATTTTACTTAAACCTCATAACACATGAGGAAAACAACACTGACACATACAATAAATGCAGTCGGACTTCAAATCAAACACTCATATTGGTCGCTTAATTAAACAGTATTTTGCTTCGTAGCTACTGCGTGTCCTCACACTGACTCCGGAACAGTTGTCCACTTAATATTAGGCTAAAGCCCCAAAAACAAAAACAGCTTAGTTTTCTGACAGAAATAGATATTGTGACACCCGGCAACTGTTCTTTTGTTATCCAACAGCATTAGTAACTGGAGGGATTTTATTTTAAGTAAAAGGCTGCAAATGAACAAAATGGCCGGAAAATAAATCTGCTTTTTCTGCCAATCTGCCGTTCAGAAATGATATCAATCACACTCGAATTGGGATTAATCTGCTCGGCCTCTAAAGTATTTTTGTTAATTTAGGCTGAGTTAAGCTGTGTTTAGTGAGCTATCTGACGCAGTATGTATCTGTGTACGTATATAATCTATTAAAGTGCAGGTCGGTGCTCAGTAATCACTCCTCACATTGACTACTGATGGTAAAGGTTTATTTTTGAATGCTTTTTCCCCCCAGACACATGCAGAATTTCTCATGGAAGAAAAATATGAAAATGTACGAGGAAGATACTGTAAGGTTTTGATTTTTTTTTTTGTTTGTTTGTTTTTAATTAAGGGTTTCCAGTCAGTTTGATGGGTGATGTAGCTGTGCAGCAGGAGATTGGAGGAGAAACGTTAGCATCATGAGAAGTGCCTGTGGTGTAAACCCAAACGAAATGGATGTACTTCTGAGTCCATTCATATATCAGTTCACGAGTACTGTGCTGAGTAAATGACCATCCAATCCATGATCTTATACAAATGAAATCATCTCCTCTCTTGGTCAAAAACAACAATTTATTTATAGTTAATAATAATAATGAAGATGTCACCTAATTGTACTTATGGAAGAAAAAAAAGGGGAATTCACAACATCCACTACTTCCAACATATAACACTAAAGCATGTTTAATAGGGCAGAGCCCCATATCAAAAAAAAAAAAGTTATTCTGACAGCATTTGGTTTCACTTTCTATAAGGCCAACCTTTGAAGCAACGTTTCCACAGTGAAGTCATTTCATCTCAAACCATTACATTTTAGCAACATTTCTGCTCAGCCAGCTCTGATTTGCCTGAAAAATTTACTGCATTTATCAAGATATGTGTGAAATTTTAGTCTGATATATCAAATACTTTCGGAGATAATTAAAAAATGATAATAGTTTCCTGCCTGCCCACTCTCAGTACATCGTTTTTTTTAGTTTGAATGACATTTTCTCAGGAACTATTGAAGATAAACGCCTGAAATGTTTTACTGTTTCTCATCATGTCTTTTATTCAGGATCTGCAAAAATGTATAAGCAGATGAATAATATGTGCTTATAGCTGAGTTGAAATATATATAAAAAAAATTGGAGCTGTCATGAAAAGTCCCATCTTTGAGTTGATGTAACCAAAAAACAGATAATGCAGAAGTCAGGTAGGGATATTTTCCGAACCACATGCAGCGGAATGTTACAATAAAACACAGAAAACATATATAATACTCTTTAAAATTAAATACCTGATCACAAAACACATCCACTTGTGTGTTTAGATACTGAATTAATAGCAAAATGAGAAATTAAAGGGAAAATTTCAGGCTTTTATCTTTAATAGTTCCTGAGATATTGTTGTTCTAACGCCTTTACATTTCAATGTCTGAAAAAAACAAAAACAAATAAAAAGTATTTGAGCTTTCAGTCTGAAATCTTACAGGTACAATTTTAAAAATCCATAATTTATGATTAAAAAGTTTCAAGCAGTTTGTTTGCTGTACTTTTTGCCAACGTAATTTCACCACTGACAGCTCTTTTGTCAGCACTGGACCCACATTTATGAGTTTTTTGTTTGAAAACAGTTAAAATGACATTTACACTCACTGCTCACTCACAGGGACAGATCTGAGGGATTCAGGGAAAACTGGATGACAAACTAGTTGTACTGAAATATTCAAAAAAAGAAAAAAAAAGCTCAGCCACCACTTTTAACAGAGCAAACAAACAAACAAAAAACCCTCCTGTCTTTGTCGACCTAAAATTAATGAGTGACACATAACAAGAAAGTGAGATAATCCATAATGAGATCGTCATCAGCATACAACTTAATAAAAAAAATCATCCTCTCCCTTCACAGTCATCCATTCAGCGCTTATTTCCGTGACATCATTTTCACAAACTCTGTGAAGAGAAGCAACAAAATACTGATCAGCTAAATTGCTGCAGCAAACTGAGAGTCACATTTATACCATGTATACAGCAGGTTCACACTGAACCTACAGTCGTCCTCAAATGTATTCATACCCTTCCATTAAAGAAAAGGCAAAATTCACAATAGTCACTCAAATAACTAGAAACTGAAAAAAGTAATAATAAATAAAAATTTGCTAATTATAATTTAGTGAGTGGCCCTGCGATGGACTGGCGACCTGTCCAGGGTGTCCCCTGCCTTCGCCCTAAGTCGGCTGGGATAGGCTCCAGCCCCCCCGCGACCCTAGTGAGGATTAAGCGGTGTATAGATAATGGATGGATGGATGGATAATTTAGTGAAATAAGACATTGCTTTTGAATTGTGGTTGGAAAGAATCATTTTTAAAAAAATCAAACAAAATTGTTCAAATGATAAAATTAGAGCCCTTTGCTGATGAGCAGGGGTCCAGAATACCTGTCAACAGCTGCAGAAGTCTGACTGAGAGTTACAGGAAACACCTGATGGCAGTGATTGGCTCAAAGGGTTGTTCAACTAAATGTTAGTTTATGGGTCCCATCATGCTTGTTTGCTTTTTTTCTTCTTCAATATTTCTATTGAATCACAATTCAAAAGCAATGTCATGATGTTCATTAAATTTTCATTTATTATTATTTTTGTCAATTTCCGCGTATTTCAGAGACTGAAGCTGTTTTTTTCCTTCTCTAATTGGAGGGTATGAACACATCTGAGGACGACTGTAGATGCTCATGAAGTTCAGCTGTTTTTATTTAAGCTTTTAGATGACATGAAATTACAAAATTAAGTTTTAAGTTCTGTGTCTTGCTAAAGAACTCCTACTAGACAGTAAAAAACAAAAAAATCAAATCTGTTTTTGTGGTTTTTTTTGCTGTGTCTCACCCTCAAAGTCGACCGTTCCGTCTCCATTGTTGTCAGCTTCCTTGACAATTGCCTCAATTTCCGTCTTGCTGGCGTGTTCCCCCAACAGCTTCACCATGGCGTGTCTCAGCTCGTCAGATGTGATGGCGCCGTCGCCATCGATATCAAACTGCATTAAAAGGGAAGAAGAAACCAACACATTGCAAAGCTTGTGTTGAGTGTTTGGCTAGATTTCAAGTTTTAAGTTCATTTCTGTCCACTGTGGGGTGCCAAAGACAACAAAGACAGATCAGAAAGAAAAGAAAAGAAAAGAAAAAAAGGATGTTAAGCTTACCTCCCTGAAAGCATCTTTGAGTTCCTTCAAGCCAATCATCCCTGCAGTTTCATCCAGCAGCTTGGGGGTCATTAGTTCCACAAAGTCTTCAAAATCCACCCGTCCTCCCGCTGTGATAAGACAGATGATGTGACTAATATAAGCACAAGAAGGCTGTAACAAGGAATCTGAGATCTCTCGGGGTGGAGTTATCCTCCTTGCCTTTGAATGAAGGATTGATCAGTGGAATTAATTTTGTCAGGTTTCATAAGTCCAGTTCACACGCAATAACGGGCTTCTTTTGAAAATAGAGGATAAAAGACACGTATTATTCCTGAAAAAATTGATAATGTAAATCTAATTGTCGAATGTGCATCAGGTTACAAGTCTTTAAGATGCTTTTCATTACATTTTCAAAGCAGATCTGGGCAAAGAATGCTGCTACTGTGCAAGTTCTTCTCCCAAAGAATGTCTTAGTTGTTCTCCTCTCACATGTTCTATGAAGTAAAAATGTGCATTCCAAAGAGTGTGGTGCGTTCACGTTCGTTGCCATCACTCACAGTTCATGTTGATGTTCTGGCCCAGTTCTATCAGCTCCATTTCCGTCGGCATGTAACCCATGGTCCTCATCAGGTTCCCCAAGTCTTTACAGCTTATCAAACCGTCCTTGTCCTTGTCAAACTCCACGAAAGCTTCACGTAACTCTGGAGAGCAGACGGATTGGAGCAAGTTAAGAACTGCATGTGACTGAGCTGTGAAAAGATTAGAGAGTGTATATGATTCTTTAAGGTCCCATATCGTGCATCTTTCCAGCAAATTAATCTCCCGTGTCCCCACAGTGAAATTTTCAGCTCAAAATACAGCAAAGGTGGTTTATTTAACCGTGACTGGTGACCGTGACTATAATGCCTGGTTTTAGGAATGTTTGAGCTGCTGCTCTTTTCAGCTCACTGTTTGCATCTCTGGCTGCCAGCTGGATCTGTCAGTCACAGTTTGAGCTGCATGTCTATTTGTTATTCAGATATTTAAACTAATCATAAGGAGGCTTGAGCAACAGCAAACAGTAAACGTCTTCATGTCTTTTATTTTACACCTCCAAATACGATATAAATGGATTTTCACCATATGGGACCTTCAACAAGTTCATACGAAAAGTAAAATTTACCTTCTATCTCGTCGTGTGTGAGAGTTCTTGACTGCAAAAGAATAATGGTATTAATATAAGTATGGTTTAAGGTTAAGTATGCTTTATACACACAGTAGTGTTTTTTTTTTGTTTTTTAAACAAAACTAAATGGTTCAGTGAACACCCCCCATGAAATACACCCGAGCTTATTTTTCATCTGTGGTCCGTGAACAGCTGTCACCCTGAAAGCAAAAGTCACTTTACCCAGAACACCGTGTTCACCTGTAAGACTCCATAAGCCCCGCATGTAATTATATAAATATGTATTGCAGAAGAAAAAAAGAAGTCTCTAAACACAAAACATTCAGTTGTTTGTGTCCCATATCAGTATGATTCGTTCAACATGTGAGTTTGCATAACTTTAAATTGTCCATTTAACTTCTTATAAATAAAATAAAGATTAGTGCATCACTTTGGAAAGTGCTGAAACACAAACTTTTCCCAACTTTCCAATTCCTTCCCAAGTTTTACAGCAATACATTCTCACGTTACACATTCATGGCATGTAGAAAAACAGATGTCAAGACTTCATTTGTTAAACTACACTAATACACTACACAATTATGTGTCATAACATAACTGTGCAATCTGTTCAATAGTTGCTTTCTTTCAGAACTTTACTAAATCTGAAATTGTAATCATGACTTTCAATTACTGGAAAATGAGTGATCAGTGTAGAATGCCACCTTGGTAAATGTGCTTCAGTTGGGTATTAAATATGAAGGTTTTGTGCAAACGTAGCCGAGTCTTTGAAATGAAAGTTTCTGCCCTAATGGTGTAACGGATCAGGTAAAGAAACTTTAGCCACGTTCCATCTTCTTTTTCCCAGAGCGGAAATACTTCCCAAAATAACAAAAACATATAAACAGATTTATTTTATGTTTACATGAAACTAATGAATAACACAAATACACCTAATTAATTTCAGAAAACATTAAGACTGAGGCAAGTGTTGTAAATAATAGAAAACAGTCATAAATCTACTGTATTAAACTGTCCTGTCAAATCACAAAAAGCACATTGACTTACTTGTCTCCTTGTTCCTCCCCGGAGAAAGATGCAGGCTTGTTTAACACTCATGATGACAGCCAAGTTGTATTGTTGAATTCCTTTGTTTTAAAAAAAAAAAAAAATCAATAAATTCACTGTGTAATATGCCACTGTATCATTTGCTTTGTTTTCTTCAGTGTGTGTGTGTGTGTGTGTGTGTGTAAACGGCGATCAGCAGTGATCTGCGTTTGCCAGAGACGAGGGATGAGGTCTCGTGTGGATTATCTCTGCAGCTTTGGTCTGGAAAAGAAAGACGGGCTTAATGCTGTGCACATACAAAATTTCCCACACGTAGTCAAACATTAGCGCTGTTCCTAAAAGCTTTTGTGCATAATAGGTATCATCAGTTTTTAATGTCTGTGGATGATAAATAAATAAATAAAACAAGAGCACTGTTTTGCAGCTTGTTAAATATTAACCTCAGTGGATACAAAGGATTTGCCACAATGATCCGTCTCAGCATGATGCAAGTTATCAGAAAAACTAACGAATGACTGCAGCTCTCTCAAGGCCTGTTCGCTCTACAGGGGAATGTACATCGTCAGCCTATTGCATAAGCATATAAATAATGCTTTGGCATAATTAAAGGCTCTGTGCAACTTAAGAAGATGTTCCTGCATCTACACGCCATCATCACAAGTGTAGTCTGTCGCACTGCATGAAGCACAGTTCATTCACTCAGAATCAACGTCAGTTCATCACATAATGCCATGAGATCACTCTTGTTGAAAAAAAAAAAAAAAAAGAATCTTTTTACATAACATCCGGCTCATACACATTCCATACAGGCAGATTAACTGCATTCACCACATGAGATAGACTCACATTTCTCTTTCTGTGCAATGTGGTGAGCTCTTTTGTAAAAGCTGTCAATGCAAGTAGCATTTATCGTGGTGATATCATCCTAATATATTCAAATAGTGAGCTGCTAAATAGACTTTGTTCAGAGTTGTGATGTCTAACACGAGTGGAGATATTAGTTATATATTGGGTTATTGTACTTAATATGAAAGCAAGCTGATGAAATTCCACTGGTGCTGTTGAAATGTTTTTATTTCATAATTTTTTTTCGAAACAGGAGCAACAGAGGAGGTGCTTTAAAAAGGTCTAGCCATACAGACAGATATCATTTTATTTTTCTGGAAAAGAGTTTTCTGAACTTTGATACGATAATGAAACTAACTTAGCGGTTGATACCAGTATAAAATAAGCAGAAATGTTTATGAGTGCTGAAGCAAGCATAAAACTCCAAGTAACTGAAGTTTTTTTTTTTTTAATCTTAGAGACTCACGAGTCTCCTTTATGCAAATCCAGATGTTAAATCAAGATTTTTTTAAAACAGTGGTTTTGAGATGATGGTCAGACTGTCTGTTCTGCTGTAAGTTGCTTAAAGCTGTAATACACTGATAAAAAAAACACATTAGTGTTGTAAAAACAGGTTTCTCCATGCATCTTGCAGCAAAATGCAGCTGAATCACACAGCAGTGTTGAAAATGTCTGTTTGCACATTCTTGTTGTTGTTTCTCTTCTAACTTCTCACTCATCTGTTTACAGCTGTCTCGTAATTTTTCCTGCAGAGCAACTGGAGTTCATTTAAGTTAGCGCTGAATGCACCGGTTCAGACAACCTGCACTGGAATGCACAAGACCAAAAAGGAATCACAAGAGATAATCGGAACAGCTGGATACATGTGAGACTGGATGTTGTGTTTTAGTCCAGATCCACAGAACAACTCAGTTTGACTGTTATCAAGAGGAGCCAGCAGAAGAACTGAAATCTATTGTAGTATCATAAACCAGTTTGACACCACAATAGATTCCCGGAGTGTGACTTTTTTTTTTGTTTAAAATAGCTGTGTTCTGTTTACAAGTGAATATTATTAGCTTAAAAATAGAAAGTAAAGATTATTTGGACATAAAATGAAAAATTATTCAGGTGGCTCTATGTGCTTTCAGATTAGGCACAATTAAGGAAGGCCGGGGCCATTTCTTCTCTTATCCTTCAAAAAATCTTTGTTGAGATAATTGATGAGAGAGAATTTCACTTTAGTTATTTGTGTGAAACATCTGATCTTTTGCTTCCCACACAAAACCTGTGAACTACATGAAGCTGATCTGACGTAATCATCAATGTCAGGTTTGCGGCATCACTTGGTCTTTATTCTGTTTGCAAGTTCTGTTAGTCTGGTTGTACAAAATGCAGAAAAGAATGTAGAAAACCTACACAAACAAGACGGAGTTTTGAATGATGCTTTTTGCAAATTACGCTGTCAGACGGAAGGAAACAGGAACAGAGAAAGTGCTCCCTGTATTTGAGATAATACAGATGTTTTTTCCCTTCGTCTGGTTAGATTCAAAGAAAGAACAGGATTTGGATTAAAATCACCAGCCTGTACTTGCAATAACAAACACACAGTTGGAGTCATGGTTGAATGAGACATCTCAATGTGGTCTCTAGAGGGCGCTGTCACACTGCAACTTTAGGGTATAAGGGTAACAGGACAGTTTCCTCTGAGCACTTAAACCATGAAGAGACTCCAGGAGGAGATCGCTAACTCAAGACATGTTCTGTGTTTAGGAGGAAAACATTCTTTTATAGATAGTATAAATCCAAAATGTTTTGTTTTTTCAGCTACACATTGAGTCAGATTCATCACCTCAGCTGCAAACCTTTACATACTAAGTTTGATTTTAACAAATTATTGAACAAATGCTGATCAGCAATATGCAAAAGCTACATTAATGACAGCATGTAATCTCTCTATAGCGACATTATTTGCATAATAATTACAGGAAGTGAAACTTTTTCAAATCTGTGCACTCATAAAGGCTGTAATTTCCAGTTTGTAGAAGATTTTTTCAGGGCTTACAGGCTCCCTCCCTGGATGAAATTGGACAAAACAAAAACATAAGGGGAAAAAAAACAATTGCCTGAGGCTGCACTTAAAAAAATGACACTGGCCAAACACCAGGCCCTGACGGATAACATAAGCGGTCCACGCTGCTTGCTGTGCAGAACGCTTGACAAGGCTTTGGCGGTAAAATCCCCCCAGGCATGGGGGGGGAAACATGGCTCAAGAAAAGCAATGATCCATGGAAACGCAGTTCATATTCTGTCCCGATTAGAAGATCTTAACAAGAGCAAACAACAACTGGGCTAAACAGGGGTCATGTGAACCGTTGGGTAATCCCTGCAGACTGTTGGGTGTGATTTATCATTCCAGAGGCCAATGCATTTTCAGACAAAACGCAGAAAATGTGCTTTCTGCTTTGAATTTTATACTGGGGGTCAGTAGCATGAACAGAGGATAATAGGTTGCTCTCCAGCTTTGTTTATGTGTTTGAGGAAGGAGGCCATTCCATCTGCTTTTTATATGTATCACCCCTGAGCCCACTGCTGTAGATGGCATATTTAATACATATTGTTTTTAAATACCCAACAAACCACTATAAACTTCATCATCTCTTTCTGTATTTTAACAGACATCATTTGCCATTTCACATTTTTTCATTGCTCTTGTAGCAACAGCCCAGTTATGCAAATCATTTTTCAACATAAATGTCACGACCGTGCCCCATATTTACTCCTGCAGAGGGAGGTCTTTCTGATTCTGGCTGGTGAGCAAAACAACCAACATCCTGCTCTTGGATTTTAAATCTCTAACCAGAAACTACTGAATTAGTGCTAAATGCAGAATGCAGCACCTCATTGCCTGGAGTTTATTCTTTATTCTTACAACTTATGGTAAGAAAATCTATTCTGCACTCTTTTTGTTGTAAGCGTCCACCCTGTGTTTGAAGTGTTTGATGATCACCATCTACTTTCTTGCAGAGGCTTGGGGTGAGATCAGGCTGAACCAGTCTCCCGCTGAGATGAAGCGACCCGGAGAGATGGTGAAGATGTCCTGCACCGTATCTGGGTTCGACATGAGCAGCTACCATATTCACTGGACACGAAAGAGGGCAGGAAGCTCTATGGAGTGGATTGGGAGGATGCGAGCGGGGTCAAACGCAGAGTATTCTAGCACCTTTCAGAGCCGTTTCGTCCAGTCGTACCATTTGCCCAGCAGCACCGCGTACCTCGACGTGAAGCGTCTGACAGCAGAAGACTCGGGTGTTTACTTCTGCGCTCGCACGTAGAGCACAGTGGCAGAAGACAGTAGATCAGCTGGTAGAAAACCTCCTCAGGCAACAAATACGACTGTTCCATCTCAGATCACCAGGGGCCTTCTGCTCATCTGTCTCTGTTCTGCTTTAAACTTTTTTTCCTTTTTTATCCTTAACTATGGCTGTTTAAAAAGACTTTTGTGTAATTTTAGATTGACACATCAAAAATTTTCTTTTTATTTTACACACTGAAATTTGAGGCTATGCTTAAATGACAGTATCTCAGGAACTTTTAAAGATAAAATCTCGAAATCTTCACGATTATCTCAAATTATATCAGTGATTCAGAATCTCCAATACTGGTCAAGTAGATCAAATAATCTATGATTGTGGGTGAGTTGGAAGAGGAAAAAGAAATTGCAGCTGTCTTTAAAAGTCCCACCTCTAAGCACACATTTACAAAAAACACGACAATGCAGAAATCAGCCAGTGATATATTCTGAACTACATGCAGTATCCTGTCACAATAACACAAAACAAAACATAGAATACTTGTCAATATGAAATACTTACTCACAGAAAGGGGGAAAAAAAAAGAAGTTATTTTTGTTGAGCTCTCATAACTGAGCAGCAGGTGTGACACAAAAACAAAGCTACTGCTCGATAGCCTAATCCCAGTGGAGTTCTCGAGTTTTAAACTGGTTCTCGAGGTATACCAAATAAAATGTAAAACTGTTTGATACATCAACAACAACCTATATTAATATCCATATTTTATGTTGTAAAAAATTCAGGCAAATCAGAGCTGGTGGAGCAGGATATCAGATTTTTATCCTTAATTTGACCAGTATTATTGTTTATACTTTGTTTAGCTTGTGAGAAAACTCTTTTTCCCCCTCTTCACTCTGTTTAACCACTATGGAGCCCCAGAAGGGACATGGAGGAAGGAAAAAACACAGGCAGACGAAAGAAAAAAATTGAGGTAACTTTTGCGAGATCTTGCAAAACTTTCTTGGGATCTCGTAATAACTTTTGTGAGATCTCGCAAAACTTTAGGTAACTCCAGCCCAGTAGGTGGCAGTAATGTATCTGAACGTTGCCAAATCAATAGAAGAAGAAGAAGCAAAACTATCGTATACATATGCTTCTAGGTCTTTTTAGCTTTATGGAGAAACGACAATGGAAGACACCAATCCGAGTTTGAGTATTATTTTGAAATCGGTCTAAAATATTAAAGACATTCAAGCAGTGCTTAGTAAGAGACACATTTTTCACAAAATATCTAATAAGATTGATGTGACTTTTGTGAGATCTTGCACAAGTTTTTACGAGATCCTGAAAAAGTTTTGTGAGATCTTGCAGATACCTCTATTTCCCCCCCCCCCCCCCTGTTTTTTTTCTTTCTCCATGTCCCTTCCAAGGCTCCGTAAACCACCACCAGAATAAAACACAAAAGCATAAACAGTGAGACACATTTGCCCTAAATTTTATAAATTATTTATGGAGGATAACAAAGAAGGAAGAGAACCTTAGTTCAGGCACAAGGCTCTGTGGTCTAAACACAAAATGCACAGCTCCTAGACACACACGTCTTGGAGTTGTGAAGCTGATAGCCAGACTTCCAGATCCACACTTCTCACTTTGCAATCAGCTGAACACATTTGTGTCAGTATTCACACCAGGGACTGTGAAATGATTTGATATGTGAGGGAAAATCATGCATATAAACATGCAAAACTCAGCCATCAATCAAAGAAAAAGGCAAAGTTCTTTCCACCAGTAACAATATTCCATCTCTAAGGTAAATGATGTCAAGGTAAAACAACTAGTTTCTAAATCCCTTTACATCGTATAAAACAAGGGTTCAGTTGTCTGTTCAGAAAACCAGTCTGCAGCTGTTTTTGTTTTACTCTCCAGAGACGGCAGCACACAACAGTCATATTTCTACATGAACAGTTCTGCTCCCTCAGCCTCAGTTCTCATGCTGAGCTCCTTGTCATGTCTGTCTGTATCTATCCATGGTTAACACAGACAAAAAGGATCAGAAGTTGTTCCTTTCATGTTGAATTCCTTCCTAAATCCGTCCATCAGTGACAGCTGTATTGAACGCCAAACATCGACGAATGCTTGATTTTGCAAGATTAAGTTCGGTTCAACTGTATTACTGTGCAATAAAGAATTCAGTTTGCAGCTCGGCATTAAAGACAGAGGTCGCAAACATCCACCAGTGACAACGAAACACACACACATCCATCCTGGAGTGGTTTTGTGGACAGTGATGTAAGGCTTTATAGCATCAAGTTATGTCCCAAAATGAGAGTTAGGCCAAAAACTTTTTGTTGTACCTTTGTATACCAGATAAATGAAGAGTTCATTTGCAAAAACAGACAACTCCATCTTCACAAAGCTTCAGAAAACCCACTTTTCCATCTTCTACCTGAGACAACATCCATCAAATTTTAAGTTATCTCTACTGTTGTCATTTCTACTGAGTCAAATCCACTCAACTTTAGTTTGACTGATATCATCTCAAGCAAGCAACAAAAAAAAGTTTTCTGAAAATCTACAAAAATGGAGTTATCTGTTTATGCAAATTAACTCTTCAAATATAGATGCTCAATTTCTCACAAAATATATATTATATGATTCATATTTATTGTATTTTATGTGGAATGCAGAAAAATATTCAACATATTTGGGTCAGCTGAATTTTGCCCGTCCAAAAACATAAAAAAAAAAAATGTAAGCTTGAATGAAAGCAGGCATAGTAATAGTAGAATATCTCCGAACCCATGCAATGACGTAGGAGGAGCTCAAAAAAGCAGATTCTCACAGGGAAACAGTTCATATTTAAGGGGATTACAAGGATTTGAAAAACCCACTAAACATCCTGCTGTGAACATGGCTTAGGGAAAGCCGACAGTCTTGATGCTTTCTCTATTTGTTTCCTGGAAAGTCTGAACCAACAGTTGTGCTCACCTGCAAAACATCTGGATTTAACTTTAGAAGCTCTGGATCAGGCCGGTTCAATTCAGGGGGTCTCCTGAGATGAGCACGATTTCTCACAACCACTGGGAGCGTTTGCTTCTCATCACCTTTTCTGTTTAGATATTCCTTTATCTCTTACAGCAGATATTTTAGTAGACATTTATCCAGAGGCCGTAAAGTGGATTTGGTGCCACAGATTCTGAAACAAACAAACAAATGTGATGAATTCTACTGACTGTGTGCATTTGTACACCTGCTTTAACACTGACATGAATATATTTTGTGTTATTTTACAGTATGCATGCCTTGTTACTACACTGTCATTACAATAAAAACTTTATTTTACTGCCTGCATACTCTGAAGTTATCATGTATGGATTCAGTTCTTCAAGGTCACATCAGTGCATGGCCACTCAAACATTACGTCCTACCTCAAATGGAATTAAACATTTTAAAAGACATTGTTTAAAAACATAAGAAAATCAAAAAGAACATCCTTTTGTTGTCACTGTATTGCTAAACCGTGGTAGATTTTCTTTGTGGGTATATCTTGCTGGCTACTTAATGGTTTATAATCTGATTACAAGACAGGATATAAAAGCTGGTCCAGGATTTTCACTTACATGAGGTTTAATCATCCGATTAGTCGTCGGAGGCATTTGTGTCTTGTGTCACAAAATCACAGGCCGTGTCTTCACATGACATTTAAATCGACTATCCGTGCCTCTTATGATCTTCAATGGATGACTGTTTTAGATGGTGTAAAAAGATTGTGTGACAATTGGATAATTGTCACACAAGAAGCTTTTTTTTGGAGAGAATTATCGCAATCACAAAAGCAAATGATGTAAATTAAAGAGTAAATCAACTTGTAATGTTGAACTAGTGGAGGAAGTCTTTTTTTTTTTTTAAATCATTATTTACATTCAGTTTATCTAATGATCATTAAAAGATGCTCGTCTTATTTGCTATACTGTGCTTTGTTACAGACATCTGGTGCGTGACTGTAACCGCTGTGGACGTATAAAAACAGCTGCCATCCAGATGTGCATCACAACAACCGACACCAGCAGACACAACAGGTAAGAAAAGTGTTCTTCAGCTACGTTTCTGGTTTATAAATGTAATATACAGCCCTTTGACTCTGCTGGTAACAGGTGCCAGTTTTTGTATTGGGGTTTATCACAGTGGTGGGAGGGAGGCTATGGCACCAAGATATACCTCCATACAAAAACCTCACGGTACAAACTAAGACAAAAACGACAAAACATTTTTAAAAAGTTGAAATTTTTTAAAATAATAATTGAAGAGGAAGACTGTAATAATGATTATTTTCTGCAAATTATTACTAAACGTCATATTTATGATACATTTATAAATGTTTCTTTCTGGTGCTTGACTAAAACACATGAATTTGAATCAACATATTTGCAGAATGGAATGCAAATGTGTTAGATCACAACACCAAGGGGTCACACAACTCTAAAAAACACACCTGACATGTATGTGTTTCATGTGTTACAGATTCTAAAACTTTATATTGTTCTCCTTCATGTTTTTGTTGAAGCAGTGAGTTGAGATGCAGCACTGTGATGCCCTGGATTACTGGGGCGGTGGGACCAAAGTCATGGTGTCATCAGGTAAACGGCTCGATCCCCATTTTTCAAATGTGACTAATGTGAGTTTAAATACAGAGACGTCAACCATCAAGATTGAATAAATCAAGCAAACATCCATCCATCCATTATCTATACACCGCTTAATCCTCATTAGGGTCGCGGGGGGG